CTGCAGAACTTGAAGAGGTGGTTCAGTGACTGAATCAGGTGTGTTGGAGCAGGGAACATGTAAAACATGTAGGGCTGCGGCCCTCCATGGTTGCCCACCCCTGGTTTGACCTGACGTCTCAAACTTTGTGTTTGAAATCTGAGATGAAGCTTTACAAACTGGTTCTGGTTCYGTTCGTTCACAGAGCTGCAGACAAACGCCACGCCGACGGGACCTTCACCAGCGACGTGAGCTCGTACCTCACAGACCAGGCAATCAAAGACTTTGTAGCCAAGCTCAAGTCTGGACAAGTGCAAAGAGAGTAGGCTGCCTCCTCCTCCTCCTCCTCCTCCTCCTCCTTCCTCCTGCAGAACCAACGCACCTGAACCGGCCCGCTTCTCTCTGATTCCACTGCCACCGTGACAGAAAGAAAGAGTGATTGTGAACCAATCAGCTGCTTCTTTGATTTTTTCCATTTCCTTTGATGTTGTGCTGAAATAAATCACCTGAACTTTTCCACTGCGTTGATTTCTGTGTTGTGCCACAAATCATAAAAACACACACACACACGGCGATAAGGACCGGCGCTGATCGGGGTGTCCACGTCTCCATGGTTAGGGGGCTTTCTTCACATTGTGTCCCTGTGTACGCACTCAGATCGCTAACAGCCTGGTGGAGCGCCACGCTCAGCAAAAGGCACGTCGACGGGAGCTTCACCAGCGACGTGAACAAGGTGCTGGACTCCATGGCCGCCAAGGAATACCTACTCTGGGTCATGACCTCCAAGCCRTCAGGGGAAAGGTAAGGCTGAGCCGTCGCACCAAGAATCGGTTAGAGGTCCTCAAATCGGACCTCCTCTGAGWTAAAACACTTTTATGTGGGTTTGATTGTGACTTTCTCTTCTGCAGTTCGAAAAGGAAAGCCCAATGAGAGCTCCCTCTCTGAGCTGCACTCCAAGCCATATCCAGGAGGCCATCCTGCTTTGAATGTTTTTTTTTTTACTTCGTCTTGAATGTAATGTAAAAAGGTACGAATGTGCTCCTCTTCCACAGACAAACGGTGCACAAGAGAAGAGATAAAGTTATTTTATACGTCAGGTGATGCGAGGAAAACAAACGGTTCCGTCTCAGGTCGTCCACGGGAACGTCACGGCGTAGGAAGACTTTCAGAATAAAACTTTGATTTTGGACCGTGGCGTTAAGTCTCATTTGTTTACCTTCCTGAACTGTGTACAAGCTAGCACAATGTTGTGAGATTCAGTGCCACCTGTTAGCACTCAGGTTGTATGTTGGGGACCGTTCTTAGCTACTACCACACAGTTTCAGCTCAGCTTCTGTAAAACTTACAGCTTTATAAGTTTGCATCAAGTTTGAAGCTGTGGTGGCCATCTAGTATCAGGTTGGCTCAACGTTCATCTCAGCTGTAGACAAGTATCTATGAAATAACTGCACTAAAATCTGTTCATTAAATATTTTGCTGACAGACAACAAGATTAGCTTCAACAGGACGCCCAAACATATAAGCAAAGATGAGTAGAAGTCAAAGAATGTGCTGTGGATGACTCAGCTGCTATTACACCAGCTTTTAGCTCAGTGTTTGTGAAACTAACTCAGTGTTTGTGAAACTAACTCAGTGTTTGTGAAACTAACTCAGTGTTTGTGAAACTAACTCAGTGTTTGTGAAACTAACTCAGTGTTTGTGAAACTAACTCAGAGTTTGTGAAACTAACTCAGTGTTTGTGAAACTAACTCAGGGTTTGTGAAACTGACTCAGAGTTTGTGAAACTAACTCAGTGTTTGTGAAACTAACTCAGGGTTTGT